TGTCGATTTAGCTTTAAAGTTTTGCTGTTTTGTGTTTGTGCTTTTAGAAGTTTGGAAATGGATGGCTGCATCCGGTGAAATTTTATGATGCAGGAAAGCAGAAACGAGATGAGGCACATCCTAAATGCAAATCTGCTTACAGAAGTATTTAGATGGATAATAAATGGATGGAAATGTATAAAATAATTTTTTTCTACTTCATAGATATCCACATCTTGTTAACTGGGTGGAGTTACTGTATTTGCCTGGAAAAATGCATTAAAAACTACCCAGTTATGTACAAATTGTCTCCCTCCTCGTAATTGGTAGATGATTCTGAGTGGAAGCTTCTGATTGGCTGGTTCGTATCTTTAGTTTTAAACTTGTTCTATTTAAACTCTGACGGTCTCACTTTAAAAGTCAATCTATTTTAAAGTTGCATTCGGGCCCAAAAATTCTGACCCGGCCCCAGCCTGTAGCCATTATTTCCGAACCCCACCCGACAGGTCTGACCCCCCCCCCCCCCCCCCCCAAAAAAAAAAGACATTTTATATGAAGCTTTGACTGTTTATATAGTTATTAACAGTCGGTAGACGCCTGTGGCTGAATATAAGGGGCACAAGATCGGAGCTGAGGGGGTGTTTGTCCTTTCATGGCCATTAAAGCTCATTAAATCCCCGGTTCTGCCTGCATTCTGCATTATTCAGACACGGACCCTGCTCTGACATGTCTGCTTTGAGATCTCATCTGTTCAGGTCGTCGGCCGCGTGTGTCCGCTGAGTGCAGTGTCTGAACGTCCATTTGGGTGATGGATCGCTTCCTGGCAGTACAGTCCCATCTGAAGCTTAACTGAACTTTATTTTATCTCTTTCAAGGCCGGTCAGCGTGTGGTCAAATGGCCGCGTGCGGCTGTGAATGTACGGCAAGCCATGTTGCCATATAATTGGATCGCCAGCCGCGCGCGTCCGCAATCAAATGCCCGACACCGACCCGGCCCGCCCATCCAGCACATTATTACGGCCCAGCCAGACCGGGCTTTGAGTCCAGGTTAGAAATGACCGCTCTAATCTATTTGCCTTAGAAACTCCACAACTATTCCGGTTGTTTGAAAAATACGTTAACTACCAGTAAATTTCTAATATTGTTTGAAGCATCAATGTCTACTTTAAAAAAAAAAAAAAGCATTTTCCCCACATGATTATAAGTCTCTGTAAAAAGGGGTTTCTTCCAGAATAGTTCTGATGCTGATGGAAGGAGACGGATGTGCTGTTGCGTTACAATATTAATGAATGCAACGTTCATCGCTGATAAACAACCAGATTCTTTAAGTCTCTGAGCTTCCAGTGAAAACACAAGTTTCCTTCCTTTTGTGACATTTAGACTCTGAAAGGAGTCACACTGACATACTTCTGAGAGAGGAACGTTGCGAGTCTACAGCGATAAGAGCAACTTTTGTGACTCAGAAAGTTTCAGTTTGTTTTTCAGCAGGAGCAGATCTGTGAAGATGAGTTGTTTCTGCAGTCGAGATGGAAAGGCTGATACAATTTTATGCTCAGTTGTGTGTCACCTCCTCCTACACACAAGTGAGGACATATTGGATGGTGGTAATAAAAACGACAACATTTCTATTTTTATATGCGTATCCATTGAAACCTCTCATTTATGTACTCTTAGATCCACTTATCATGTTTTTAAGTATTTTTGATTTGATGCTCCTTGTACAAATAAAACTATAAAATAAAAAGGGAAAACAATCGGAACTGTTCACATTTCTCAACCAGTATTTGGACGTCTATTCTCCTGATGACACTTTATAATTCAAACACAATGTGTCATAAACAAGTTAAAGTCTAACCGTCTTTGAAGGAATGCATATCACCCGCCACCTTTCATGCCAGAATTTTAGTTCCCAGTGACTGCCGCAGCATGTGTGTTAGTGCTCAAAGTGTGTGTTGAGGATGACTCTCGGCTACTACCTCCTCAAATTTTAGCTCAATATTGGTCAATTTTACTGACTTGGGTCCATTTTTGTTGTTAGTTATTGGTGATTAGCAGTGGCCGTTATAATAAATCACGTTGACTCTGAATGTTAATCACTTGTAAAGCGAGCTGATTTTTTTTTCAGTTCTTTGTTTGGGATGTTTTTAGGCAGAGATGTTTGTCATTGTGTAAAGCTCAAAGCATGGGTACTAATTTTACGACTGGTTCTTCTTCAGGGGTCACCACAGCGAATCTCTCTTCTCCATCTCCCTCTGTCCTCACTCCAACTACCTCCATGTCCTTTCTAACTGCATCCATATATCTCCTCTTTTTCTTTTTCCTGGCAGCTGCATTTCTAACATCCTTCTACCAGTATACCCACTGTCCCTCCTCTGGACATGTCCAAACCATCTCAGTCTGGCCTCTCTAACTTTATCTCCCAGTTGTTCAACCTGTGCTGTACCTCTGATGATCTCATTCCTAATCTTATCCAGCCTTGTCACTCCTAAGGAGAACCTCAACATCTTCATTTCTGCCACTTCCAGTTCTTTCTCCTGTCTTTTTTTCATTACCACTGTCTCCAGACCTTACAACATAGCTGGTCTCACCACTGTCTTATAAACTTTTCCTTTAAACTTTGCTGACACACTTTTATCACAAATCACTCCTGAAACTTTTCTCCATCCACTTCATCCTGCCTGGACTCTTTTTCACCTCTTTACCACACTCCCCATTTTCCTGGACACCCAAGTCCTTGAAGTCCTGCACCTTCGTGACCTCTGCTCCTTGTAGCCTCACTGTTCCACCTCCTCCCTCTCATTCACGCACATGTACTCTGTCTTAATACCTCCACCTCTCCAAGTTCTCTTCCACCAGTTCCCTGTTCTCACCACAGATCACAATATCATCTGTAAACATCATAGTCTATGGGGATTCCTGCCTGACCTCATCTGTTAGTCGGTCCATCACCAGAGCAAACGAGAAGGGGCTCAGATTCGATCCTTGATGCACTCCCGCCTTCACTTTGAAGCTATTTGTCACTCCTACAGCACATCTCACCACTGTCCTGTTGTCCTCATACATATCCTGTACCAGTCTAATATACTTTTTTTTATTATTATTACTATTCACACCTTATGTCAAAGCAAATTCCTAGTTTGTGAACCTCGTTCATTGACATGGCAATAATAAACTGATTCTGATTCTGATTTTTGGCATCCAGATTTCCTCATGCAACAAGCTGGTAAATATTCTGCTGCTGTTCTGCAGCAACAGCCACCGTGCTCTTAAAGAAGTTTTTTCAGTTAAAGGTCCTGTTGATGTTGCTGCTTGGTGATGAAATAATGTTGCAACAAACTTTTCAGTTCTTTTCAAAATGGTGCAAAACTTTAGACTAACCTGCTACCCAACAATCGCACAGCAGATCACACTTTGAACAGATTTATCACCGACTAATGAGAAAACAAACTGCACCTAAAATAAAATATGTCCGCAGCTCATTCACAAGATGCTGAACTTCATCCTCGCACAGGTCCCTGGATTTACTGGTCAGACTGTAACTCATTTAGATTTACATTTAGATTGGACTCTTGCTAATGTTTCATTATCAGATTGAACATCACCCCCCAAAAGGACTGAAGCTATATTTAGACTGCCTGATTAAAAAACAAACAGATGAATAAACCGTTTTATTCACAGAAATTGATGAAGCATCGGATCACAATAAAACACCAGACTTGCTCCTGATTACATCTACAATTCACGAGTCAGCAGTGAAAATGTGCATTAAAGCCGGAATTTATTTTAGCTGTTTAATTTTTATTCTCGTCAGCAAAAGCTACCAACAGAAAGCTCCATTCTCCGAGGAGTTTGAAGACGTCCCGGCTCGATCTGTGCCGCTCGGCTCCAGGCGCGACAGAGACATAAATATTCACAGGCCCGTCAACGATCGTTGGTTTTATTATTTAAAAACAGCTGTGCAGTTAAAATGTTATTGCACCATCACAGGGTAAATTGTGCGCTTGTTGTGGATATTTCAGATTATGATCCAGAGGAGCGAGTCAAACTAAACTTTTTTTTATGTCACGTGGCCCTGAGGTGGCTCTAAGAGTAAAGGGTGGAGGATGTGATATTTTATATTTAAATTTTAAAAAGCAGGTAAATCTGTCTATTAATAAGTTATTTGTATTTTTTTATAATGTCATATAAAGGCTTTATTTGCTGAAATGCTTCTTGTGAGATCTTGAGCCTCCTGCAGAACACCTGATTGTTTAAAAACCTGTAGCTTTTTAAAGCTCATGCTCTAAAAAAAATCTAATCTTAGTAAATTGTGTCTTTAATGAGTGAACTTTTCTTCAGGCTTGTGCATCAAATTTTGGCTCATCTTTTCATTTGACTAAGTTGTAGCCATTTTCATTTTCAGCTGTGGCCTCATTCTATGATTATTTCTAAGAGTTTAGTTAAAACATACTCTGGTTTAGGAAATATTTCGCTAACAATCACTCCTACAAAATTGCTTGTTATTCACAGTGACGAGATAAACATGCATGTCAAGATTAAACAAAAACGACCTCTACTGAGGCACCATTGTAATTTTTATTGTGAGCATTTGCTATTTTATTTTTTTAACTGGAGAAAATGATTTGTGGTTTTTTTTAGCTGCTGTTGATCCTTAAAGTGTCCTGACCGCCTGACCCTTCCATTACGGCTGGATTGGTTGTCAAAAGGCAAACCTCTCCTGTTGGATGTGTCTCAGTTAGCACATTTAATGCCCTTCCCTGTAAATCAGTGTTTTCCATAATTAATTTGAGAAATATAAAAGTTGTTTGGCTGCTCAGTGGTTTAGTGGTTAGCCCTGTCGCCTCACATTAAGAAAGTTGGGTTTATGTGTTTCTGCGTTGTTTTCTCCGTGTTCTCCGGTTTCCTCTCACAGTTCAACACGTGCCTTCAGGCCCAGGACTCCTTTGAAATTCAGATCTGGGGTTTGCCTGGTTATAAATAGACTGATTTAAAATGTGTGTTTTTTTTTTATTTGTTTGCAGGTGATGGCCCAAGCTGAGGGTCAACAGAAGAACCTGGTCCACTCCATTGACTCTCTGCCAACCAAAGGCCCGCTCTCGTGTTTGGATCAGGACCTGCTGCTGCTCAAAGCCACGTCGGCCGCCACACTCAGCTGCCTGGGAGAATGCCTGAACATCCTCCAGAGCCACAGCCAGGCGCCGCCTCCGACCCAGACCTCCCGTCGTTACTCCCACGGAGCCTCCTCCGGTGAGTCGGCCCCAGGCCTTGTTTCATGTTCCCAAACCACGTTCTCCTTGTCTTTACCGTCCTCCCCTCCAGAGTCCAGCTCGGCCCAACAGGGCCAGCTGACTCTTAACTCAAAGCTGCATTTATTTGTTAAACTCTTCTGTTGGATCATTTAGGTTGGTCAAAGTTTGTCTGTGTTGTTTTAGTTTTTCATTCATTTTTTATCTCTTCAATGTTGCATTGAAAAGTCAATATTATCTGAAATGGTCCACGTGAGATTTGGTACCAGATGGAGCTTACAGAACCCCTCATAGCATGTTGGACTGTGTTACTTGCATGTCAGGTTGAAACATGGTCGTCTTGTTGGCGAGTGAGTAAATAAAACTCATTCTACCAAAAGAAACAAACCTCCTGCCTCAAACTAGTTTTATTTTCCTGTCTGTTCCCACTGACAGCTTGAAGGTGGTTCTATAGACATAAACCTAAATGTAAATGATTGTTATTGTGATAAAAGTTTGTAAAAACACGAGACTAAAGTGGATTTTGTCCGAATCATTGTGGAAGTAATCAGCTGCTGTGGACTAATCAAATTGATGAGTTATTAGTAACTTACTAATAGCTCATCAACACCATCACTATTCCAATAACAACACATTCAGTGTAGGACAACATGCCAGTAGTCAATTACATGCCAGGGAGACAGAAAAGTGGGTGAAGAATTTATCTGACAGACAGCTCACCCAGCCGGAGACAGAGATTCTTGCCAGGGGACTGAACTTTGCGGTTGCACCAAGTAGAATTCCTCTGGTGGAGATGATCACAGCTACTGAGTCAGCCATCCGCAACAACAAAATTAAAGAAGCTGAAGCAGAACAGCTCAGAATCAAAGTTTCAGCCTGCCTCAGCAATGCCAAACCACCACCTTCCAACATCAGTAGAGAGGAGAGGGGTGCACTCACCACTCTTAGCAAGGACAAAAACATCATCATTCTCCCAGCAGACAAAGGAAGGTGCACAGTGATTTTGAACCAGAAAGATTATCATGAGAAAGTTATGACACTCCTTAGTGACTTAACCACTTATGAACCTCTGAAAAGAGATCCAGGAAGTGGTTACAAGAAGAAGTTAATAGATTGCCTGAAAATTTTGGAGCAGGACAAGGCTATTGACTATTCTGTACCACAGACTGTACCCAGGGGAGGCCACACCTAGTCTGTATGGTTTACCTAAAATCCACAAACAAGGTGTACCTTTAAGACCAATTGTTAGTATGATTAACTCTGTCACTTACAATGTTTCCAAATATCTGGCGTCTGTGCTCATCCCTTTAGTTGGCAGCTCAGAACACCACATACAGAACACCATGGACTTTGTGGACAAGGTGAGGGATGTCATCATGGAGACTGATGAAACAATGATCTCTTTTGATGTCACATCACTCTTTACATGCATTCCTGTTGATGATGCAGTAGAGGTGGTCAGTTTAAGATTAAAATCAGACACCACTCTGAGCAGCAGGACCATGCTTTCCACAGAACAACTGTGTCAACTCTTGAAACTGTGCCTGCAGTCAACCTACTTCACATATGGGGAGCAATATTATAGGCAGAAACATGGGTGTGCTATGGGGTCTCCAGTTTCTCCAATTGTTGCCAACCTGTACATGGAGGAGGTAGAAAAGAGAGCCTTGACGTCCTTTTCAGGGACACCACCAAGTCATTGGTTCAGGTATGTTGACGACACCTGGGTTAAAATCAAATCTCAGGAAGTCCAACATTTTACTGACCACATCAACTCTGTGGATAAATACATCAAGTTCACACGAGAAGATGAAAAAAATGGCAGGTTGGCTTTCTTGGACTGTGAGGTCTCAGTCTCTGATAGAGGACATTTGTAAAGAGAGGTGTACCGCAAACCCACCCACACAGACCAGTATTTGCAGTTTGACTCCCATCACCCTTTGGAGCACAAGTTAGGAGTCATCAGGACTCTGTACCACAGAGCAGACAGCATCCCCACTAACTCAGGAGCCAGGCAGAAGGAGAAATCCTACACAAGACAGGCTCTAGAGCAATGTGGATATCCTAACTGGGCCTTCCTAAAAGCAGAGAAGAAACCCAAACAGGACTCCAGTCAGCCAACAGGTGAAAAGGAGGAACCCAGACCCAGACCAGTGGTCATTCCATATGTTGAGGGGGTATCAGAGAAACTGAGACGTTTATTTTCTAAACATAACGTCCCAGTGGCTTTTAAACCCCAAAATACATTACGGCAAAGACTGGTTCATCCCAAAGATCCAGTCCCCGGCACAAACAGAGTAATGTTGTGTATGTTGTTCAGTGTCAGGAGGGTGATCAGTCTTACATTATGGAAACTAAACAGCCACTGGCCAAAAGGATGGCCCAGCACAGAAGATCAACATCATCAGGCCAGGACTCTGCGGTCTACACTCATCTCCAGGCCAGCGGTCACTCTTTCAGGGATGAAGATGTTCACATCCTGGACAGAGAGGAACGATGGTTTGAGAGAAGAGTAAAGGAGGCCATCTTTGTGAAAAGAAATCGTCCATTATTAAACAGGGGTGGAGGCCTCCGGGTTCAACTGTCCCCCTCTTACACTGCTGTGATTGCTAGTATCACTCAGCCCCCTGTGAATAGTAAACAGCCATCAGTGTGCTAATGATCCATCGTTGGGCTGATGGTCCTTCTTGATCATGTGAGCAGCTGGTTTTGGTTGTCAACAGCAAACTGGTTGATCCGCTCTGAGAAGGTGCTATTTATAAGACTGAGCTGAATACAGCACCTCAGACTGAGGAAGTCTTTCGGATGAGAGACGAAACGTATCTATATTGTTTTGCTTTGTTTTGTTTTTTGAATGTCCAGAGAACCAGATTTAACTTTTTTAGATGATGTGGATAATATCACTAATTTATTTTATAAACTCTGTGTCAAACAGTCTGTGAACGAGTATTTTCGGTTGCTGAAGCTGTTTGTAAATGTTGCCTAAAATGGGAATCTTCAGGCTTTCAATCCGGTTCTTGGCTTTGACCCAGAAAGACTTTGTGTTGGCACCAGTGTTTTGACTCAGACGTTAGGATGGTGCAAACAGAACGAGCTGGCTCTGGTTCAGCTATGGAACCCATTTGCTGATTAAATACAAGACGTTTTGTTCTAGAGGTCAAGGGTCACCGCTTGTTTGAGACATTTATTGTCCCCCGTCGCAGAACGAAAAGTGGGAAATTGGAAATACTCTTAGTCCGTCCATGTTTTGAGCATAACTTGAAAAATAAGTTCGATACTGATTACTATTTTGGTGTGTGGCTGCATCTAGGCCTAAGAAAGACCACCTATAATTGGGTTACCAAGATGGCCACCCCCATACAGTCCTGTAAACCTGTCACCCCAATCATTTGAGGAAATTGTACGTTCTAGTTTTTAAATTACTTAAAAGTAGTTTCCTCAAATGATTGTGATGGCCAAAGATTAATCCATGGTGGCCAAGGGCACCGTTGGCCACCCCCTGGCTCCGCCATTGTGCCTGATGCTGGATAAAATGACTCCCTCCACTCATCAGGATCAGTCACTCTGCCTGAGACAAGAATAAAAACATAAATAACTACAAACTACCTCTGTTCTTATCCACATTGTAACTCCTACCCACTTCTGTATCCTGCTCCAAAACCTTTAAGGCTCACGTGAATTCCCCGTTCAACTCCAGTCCAGAAAAAACACTTATTTCAAACTAAAACATTCACTATTCAAACCCCTCAACGGTGGTTGTGGGGGGGTGGGTGGGGGGGGACATCGGCGGACCGCTTGTTGAACTTTGGAAAGTTTTGCTGTGATTTGAGCATTCAGACAACTTAAGTCACAAAGCTGCCTTAACCGATTGTAGTTTTTGAAAAATAAAATTATATTGGAACTTCTATCTATGGGTTCAGCCTGCGCCCCCCCAACCCCCAAAATAAAAAAATTAAAGAAGAAAATGTTTTGTATTGTTTTTACATGCACTTCCCTTTACAAATCTCCCTCAGTGTTATTTGTACCTGAACCCAGAAGCTGAGATCCGTGACTTTGGGAGGTTTTCCCCACTCTGTGTTTGTGGGGGGGTACAGGGTCCCGCTCAGAGTCGGACCGTCATCGCTGTTTCTTGGTCTTCTCTTTGCGCCAGCTGTCGCCCTGCCCTGCACCTGTTCGTGTCACAGCGGGTGGTGTGGAGTGGGACCGCCGGGCCGCAAGTACAAACCTCTTTCCTTCCGCTGCCTGGCTGATGAGTCCTGCGGGGGTCCGGCTGCACCCCACACTCGGCATGTACCCCCCACACCGCAGTGAGGAGTTTTATTGTTGGAAGCCTCAGATCTGCGAGTGATTGGCGTATTTTTATTTCCCAGCATGAGCTGCGTACTGATTGAATGCAGCAGATTCGAAGAGTCCGGCTGGTGGAACGGGTCCAAAGCACCACCTCTGCATGGACAGGAGAACTTCATGATTGGGGGCGGGGGGGAGCATGAGGTTGGACCGAGTTTGTCCGGCACGTTGATTCCTCTGAGCTCACTGCAGTTTAAAAAGTAGAGAACCGGGAGCAGCTTTTGTAAAGAACAACCTGCCAGCTGCAAACCAGACAGCTGAATTTTAGCTGATGTGACCGAGCTGCTCGCTAAAGTTATGAACCCCCTTTTCTCCCCTCCGTCACAAATAAGAGCCTGAAATCACCACTACTCTTTATTACCAGCACATCACACATTTTCCTTTAGGGAGATACAAATCCCTAAAGGAAATGACTTCCTGGTCTGCGCTGCAGCCTAAAACATGAACCCAAAGCAGAAAATGTCTTGATATTTTGCTAAAAACAAAGGTTTGACGATGACGTCACAAAACTGTAATGGAGGAGAATCGTTTGAAACATTTTCTGCATGCAAGTCTCTCTGCACCGTTTCATCTCTGCCTTCTGACTCCGCTGCATGCTTCTATCCAACGGCACCTTTGGAAGGCCTCCGCTCATCCACAACCTCCAACGTGACAAACGGATGATCAGAGCAAGATTTCTTTTTTTTTTTGTCTCCTCAGTGAACGAAGGCAATTAAAACGGAGTGCTGGTCGATCGTCTCAGTTCGACCTTTGCGAACTACACGCCCTCGTTTCATTAAAGTTTTCATGATCGATTCCACACATGACCCTGATGTCTCAATGTTTCTGCAGAGCAGCAAGAAACATCTTCACGCTTTTCCTATTATTAAAACAAACATGCAAATTCTGTTATGTTGCACTTTCACATACTGTCAGTTAAAATCACTTTAGATTTGTTTTAAACACATCTGAAGCAAAATAATCTAAAATAATCACAATGTATACAAATAATTGTAATAATTACAGTATCTGAACAGAACCTCTGTATTAATGTATATACTATAAATTATACAGTAATGTATTTTCTGGTGTATAAGTCACATTTATTATGCGTTTATTTAATGGTCAAAACAACTTCATTTCGCTTGAGCGGCACATCCATCCATCCATCCATCCATCCATCCATCCATCCATCCGCGTTCCTCTGCCTGCACCGGCTGAGTGAAGCGAGCGTGCACCGAAGGACTCGCTGTTGCAGTTCTTGGAAATTTAAAACGTCAGTCAAAAATTGTTATAAATATGGAAAAAACAAAACAAACCATATATAAGTCGCAGGACTGACAAATCTATGCGAAAAACTGCAACGTATACGCTGGAAAATACAATACTTATAATTTGTCCCTTTGGAAACATTTATTATGGTCAAAAAGCTGTCATCATAAAAAAATCTATTAGAGCAGTTACATCATACAAACATAATCCACAATTCAGATAAAATAAAAATTTATCATCAAAAATATACTCCTAGTTTACCACACATGGGCAACCTATGGCCAGCGGGCCACATGTGGTCCTTGGACGATCTCCATCTGGTCCCCAATATTCTGAACTGAAAAGAAAACGACTTTAAAATAAGTTTCTGAAAACCTGCATTGTATCAATCAAACTTATGGAAATCTAAATTTAACATCCTGGACAAATGTATGCAAAACTTTTAGATTAATATTGGCCAAAACTTGTTGTTTCTTGCTCGGTAAGTCTTTGTGATTCTAGAATTAGACCGAACCTTAAAGATTTCAAAAAACAAACGTATAACCTTTTTATTTGTGTGTGTTGTTGCGTATTCTAAGCTAACAATATGTTGGTCACGGAAAGTATGACTTCTGTTCCTCAAAGGTGTTTAGGAGACATTTGACCAATCATGCTAATCATAAAAACTTTGAAATACCTTCTGTATTTATCCTAAAAGCTATAAAAGCTGCACACCTAAAAGGAACTACCGTAAATCCCAGAATATGCGTGCAGGCAAAATTAAAGTTATTCTACTGAAATCTGAAAATCAAAATCCAGATGAGATGATTGTTTTAAGTAACTCTATTTGGCCCTCGGGAAACAAAATGCTGTACACCAGCTCTTATTAAACCAGTCCTATTTGTGAGTTAACTTATGTGAAGAAAAATGCATGAAATAAAATGCAGTGTTGGGCAACAATGAAAATAAAGACTCAGATTTTCTTGAAGGGATGCTTATCACCCGCCATGCTTCATGCCAGATAAAAATAAAAGTCCATCCAGAAACGGCAGACCTGGAGCCGTCTGGGTCAAATCCTGAACCTGTTAGCAGACTTGCCTCACACCCTGTGCACTGATGCCAGAGGGCTGCTTTGCACTAATGGCCGTCAGCAGAGGAGCTCATGGTGCATTACTGTGTGAGTGTGTGCAGATGAGGAGAGGGCCTTATTCTGCCCCATTACCAGCACTTTGAAACAGGATCTCCTCCTGTGATGTGCGCAAGAAGCTTTTAAATGAGGACTTCAGTTTCTGCGGACCATATGAAGTCGGATGGTAATCTGAAAATGCATTACTGATGTTGCATTTTACTCAGAAGGCCTCGAAGAGGCTCTGATTTGGTTTCAGTCGGTGTTAAAAGCCTAAAGATGGCGACTCTGAGGATTTTAAACAGAAATTCACGGCAGGAGCTGTTTGTCTGATTCAACCTTTTGACTTTTCTCCAGCAGCGCAGCTTTCCTGTTTCTGATCCGACTCAGTTCAGTTTATTTCTATAGCGCCAAGTCACAACAGAAGCCGCCCCAGGTCACTGAACAGAAACATTTATATATATAAAAATAAGTTAATAACATTAATTATCTGAGGAGCAGACTGCTTTGAATTTAACTTCATCGCAGACTCTCATCTTGAGCAAGCACGAAGGCGACTGTGGAAAGGAAAAACTCCCTCCTGAGGAAGAAAGCTTCAGCAGAACCAGGCTCGGGACAAGCGTCCATCTGCTTCGACCGACTGGTTTGAGAGGAGCAGGAAGGAGGAACAGATACACAATGGCAGGTCAAGAATCACATGCTCAGATAGAAATGGTATCAAAAGAAAACTGTTCAATTTTAGCAAATCATTTTAGGAAATGAGGTCAATTTATCCTCCAGCAGTCTAAGCCTATAGCAGCATAACAAGCCAACCCTAACTATAGGATTTATCAAAAAGGAAAGTCTTAAAACTGGACAATGTGTCAGCCTCACGGACAGAAACTGGAAGCTGGTTCTGCAAGAGAGGAGCCTGAGAACTGAAAGATCGTCCTCACATTCTGCTTTTGGAAACTCTAGGAACTACAAGTAAACCTGCAGTCTGAGAGCGAAGTGCTCTGTTAGGAAAATAAGATCTCCAATATAAGATGGAGCTAGGTTGTTGAGGGCTTTGTAGGTCTCAGAACAAATGACAGAAAACTGAAAATCCTTCAGGTAAAAACTTTTTTTTTTTTTTTATCATATCTGCTCAACCTCAAGTGTGGTGGACAAATCAGCACCAAAAAATTAAAATGTGAACAATAAAGGAACAAAATGCAAAATCAGAAAATAATTTGAATAAAAAAATGCATTTAAACCTCTCTGTGTTTTTGGTTTTATGTAAAAGGTTTTAAAATAAGATTCAGTTTGGGTACGTACCACCGTCCTAAATCAAATTATTACATCTGTTTACAGGCTTCTAGATTATTTTCATCATTTGTAACATTTAAACTTGTACAAATCTCTTTTACATCTATTTTTCTCTCCTTTATTTTAATTTGCATACCCTAATTTTTAGTTCACTCATAAAACCTGACCAGTTTTTTTTGGTCAAAATTCACAATTTAAAATTTTTATTTTCAAGCAGCTTTAATTGAGTCGTAGAGAAGTTTTTCAGCTGAACATAATATATCGTTTATATTTCTGTAGCTTTTAATGACGTTGATGCTGAGCTGAAAGAAATAATCCTAGTCTAGTCCTGTTAGATCGGATCTGAAAGAACAATTTCCTGACGTCTCGGTTCCATCACTCATCCAGAAACACAATCAGACGATGCTGACGGGAGTCTCGTTTCATTTTATTGACTCTTTCATGAGAGAAGCAGAATCTGAACCCAGACCTGTTTTAACCCGGTCTTGCTGTTTTTGCAGATGGTGTTCCTGTGTGGACGGTACCAAAGTCACCTTCAGGCGAGCAGCTGAAGGACGAAGGTCTGACTCCTCTGCGATCGTCCGAGCTCTCCCCGGCCTTCAGGAGGAGGACTCTGTCCCACGGTGCTGAGGTGAGGACCACGTCTCTCTGTCCATTCTCACCTCTGGTTCTGCCTTCAGAGTGTCTGCCGCCTGCGGGTTTCTCTTCAGCTGCGTGTCACAACATACTGTCTGTCTGAAGATAAAAATATCTCCAGAGAAGCTCATCCACACTTTGCAAGAAATGGCTTAAAGAGACGAGAGCAGCCATTTAAAATCGCAGAAACGCCTAAAACAGGCGATTTTAAACCCATTTTCTTTAGCTCTTAAAGCAACAAGGTGGATAAACGTTTGCAAAGGTGAATTTGCTGCATCTGCTTGGTGGGTTCTGTCGCTGTAGTGAACCGTTTGAACCCATCTGACGGCGTCGAGGCTGTTAAAGATGTCTGCTTCACCTCCCTCGGTCTCCTGCGTTCACATCAGAGGCCCAGAAAGAGCTCGTCTGCTCTGAAGGTTTCAGCAGAGCTGCTGTCAGATAAGTGGGTCACACGGTGTGGAGGGGGTGGGACGGAGCTCATCCCAGCAGGTCTTCATAGATCCCCCTCACTCACCTGACTCTCTGCAGGAGAACGGGGCTGTCGGAGCGTTCGGACCGACCCGATCACCAGCAGGAAGTAACCACAGGTGATTCAGACAGACGGTGGGCGGCGCTCTGCAGCTTCACCTTGTTTTATAGGACAGGTTGCTGTAAAACAGAAGCTGCACTCTGACACTTGTTTCCATGGAAACATAAAATGACGTGCTTATTTGAAATGTGCTTATATACTACTTAAAATACCTCATGAACCACTGTGTGGGTTTTATTGAAATCTTTTGGACGTAACTATTAGATCTCGATGAACCTTTTTCAATTCAAGATGGCCGCCACAGCAAACTGATCACACGCAAACTAACTGATAACCTTACAGATGTTTAGCTAATAGTTGGTGTTTAGTAGCTGAGAGTTGCTAACAGAGTTAGCTCAAACTTTTGACATTTAGCGTTTGTGCCAACCCTGATCATCTGTTAGCAAAATATCTCCTAAACCACGGATTGATTTTAATGAAACTCTCATTGTAAATATTGGGTCTGCCATTGACTAGATTTTGAAGTCAAATGAAATCAAGATGGCCGCCACAGTTAGGTGAGCGTAGCCAGCACAAAAAGCTTTACCTCAGTTGGTTTTACAGATAATGAGCTAAAATTAGAAGTTATGGAGCTTCTTGGAAACACCCTCCGCCCATCCCATCATCTTGTGAGCTGGATAACTTGGGAAAAATAAATACCGACTTCTATTTTGGTGTGTGGCTGTTGGGCTTAGGTTGCCATGTCAAAATCCAAGATGGCCACTGCCATACTTTATGTTTTTGTAAATCCACCGCCCCTATCATTTCTATGCTTTCCAGTTTTCATAATACTTAAAAAGTACATTTTCCTCAAATGATTCGGGCCAAGGCCACCACTGGCCACCCCCTGGCTCCACCACTGCACATTTCTCCCTCCACTCACCAGCACCCGTCACTCCCTCTGTTCTTCTCCACAGATTAACTCGCTCCATAAACATTCAGGTTTACTCGCTTTAAGTTCAGCTCCAGTCCAGAGAAACACTCTTCTCGAACGACAAACATTCATCGTTCAAATCCGTCAGCGACGGGGGACGTCTGCGTACGGCTTGTTTGTATTTTGATGTTTTGAGGACTCGCTTGGTGCTTGTACGAATCATAAAACGTTCATTCTAATCGAGCAGACCCTCAGCTGTCGATGTGCTGATGAATGACGGCGTTCTTCGGCTCTGAGCAGCTGAAGGAACCAGACGGTTCAGGAGTCGTCTCCTTCACTGCGTCTCCTCGTCCTCCTTGTCAAAGGTTAGGTTAATTATTAGAGGCTGATTGGTAACTGCCTGCTGAATTCTCCCGTCAGCTCTCGGAATGAGCCGACACTAATTTTGAGCCGACCCAGAACAAATCATTGGCGTCGGAGACACAGATCTGTGCTCACACCAGTCCAGTTGATGATCCGTTTGAGTTGTCTCCAAAGTGTTTAAATATTACAGAGAAATATTAGAAATTATTCTCTGGTCTCAACCAACGCTCACCAGTTTGTAGATGGCCGTCCATCCTGAGCCCGGTTCTGGTTCTGCTGGAGGTTTCTTTCTGTTAAATGGAAGTCATTCCTTTCCACTGTCGCCATTGAGCTGCTCAGGATGTGAATATTTGACTGTCTGCTGACTTCCTTCGATAACTCTTAGAAACTTTTACATTATGACGTGAATTATTGTTTCTGATGACTCGAGTTTATAAATAAATTTAAAAAAAATTTGTTAATCGACATTTAGTCATTAAAGAGGACAGACAGGTTCGTGTTAAAACCTTTAACGAGTTCTTAGAAAATAAAAATGTTTCAGGGCGACTTCAGACATTTTCATCTTGTTCAGACCCTCCTTCAGAACCACACGTAATCTGATTTTATGAATATTAATGCTCTGAAACGAGTTACTTAACCATCTGAGGTCTCTTGCCTTCTTCTAATAAGAGTTCATCACAACGAGAGAACTGGTGATTCTGTGGGAAAGTAGAATATATTGTTGAATTCTGAGCAATCACTTATTCATTTCTCTAAAGTTTGACAGATTTTGGCCTTTGACCTTTAATGGTTCTGCAGCTCCATCCGCTTTCATTAAAGCCTTCAAAGAAGCTCCTGGTGGTGTTTGAGGAGGCAGCACAGAGGGTGAAATATATAAA